CAGGGCGGGGCTGTTGTTCTCGCGGACCCACAGGGTGTAGGACGACTGCGTGAATTCGGGGGCGTTGTCGTTCACGTCGGACACCTGCAGGGTGAAGGTGTGCTGGGTTTGCAGCCTGGGAGTCCCCAAGTCGGTGACAGTGATGGTGATGTTGTATTGGTCTCTTATTTCTCTGTCCAGGGGCCTCTCTGTTGCTAGGGTGTAAAAGTTCTCAAATGTGTGTTTCAGGAGGAATGGGAGATCATTTTGAATAGAACAAATCATCTTCCCATTATCCCCAGAATCTGAATCAAATACACTGAAAACAGCAACTACAATCTCTGGTGAGTTTTCTGGTATGGAGCTCCTGGCCGTTGACATGGTCAGTTGTGGGGCATTGTCATTCATATCCAACACCTGTATGGCCACAGAACATTTTCCTGAAAAGCCCCCACTATCTGTGGCTATAACCTCAAGGTCATAATGTGGAACTTCCTCGAAATCCAACATCTTTTTCAGGCGTATTTCTCCTGTCATTTTGTCTATCACAAATGGTTGAGAAACTTCATCTTCTTGGAATAGAGCATAGACCACACTACCATGCGTTCCTGCATCTAAATCTCGAGCAGAGACAGTGACAACTAAAGAATCCATCGGGCTGTTCTCAGGAACCTGCACCTCATAGAGCGACTGTACAAATTCAGGGGCGTTATCATTGATGTCCACGACTTCTATGCGCACTGTGGAGGTCCCAGAGCTGGGTGGAGCCCCACCATCTAGCGCAGTCAGAATGAGGCTGAGCTCAGCCTGCTCCTCCCTGTCCAGCGCCTTATCCAGCACCAGCTCTGGATATTTCCTGCCATCTCCGCGGTGATGAGTAACCACATGAAAATTAAGGTTAGGGCTGATTGTGTAATTCTGGACAGTGTTGCTTCCTATGTCGAGGTCCTGCGCTGCTTTCAGAGGGAACACTGTCCCTGGATGCGCGCTCTCTGGAATCTTTAGGAGCATCTCTCTCTCTAGGAACTCTGGAGAATGGTCGTTTATATCTGTGAGGTGCAAATCAGCTTGAAAAATCTGCACTGGGTCTTCCAGTAAGACTTGGAAATGCATTAGACAGGGTTCTGTCGCCCCGCACAGCACCTCCCTGTCCAGCTTTTCATTCAGGAGCAAACTGCCTGTCTTTACATCTAGCTGCAAGAGCTGTTTGTTTCCTTTGTAATGGATTCGCGCGCTGCGAGTGGCCAACTCCCCCACCCTCAGCCCCAGATCTTTTGCCAAGTTGGCCACAAAGTGGCCACTTTCTGTTTCTTCTGGAATGGAATATCGAATTGTCTCACAACCAGACCCCCACACAAGCAATAGCAAAGCAAGAAAAGCAACTTGCCTTTTCTCTGCCGTTTTTGCTAGCGCAGTCTCCATTGTTCAGACGCTGTTCCAGAAGGTCCGTTTCTTCAACTCCGTGTAGGATTAATCCACACAGGTGATTTCGCCAAATAACCTCCCTTAAATCTTACTCACTGACTTGTTTTTAGAAGTATGCTCTTCCTAAAGATCTGTCCTCTAGACCTCACCAAAATGCGCGTCCTTCTTTTAAGGAAAGATTTCTGATTGTCAGCTTAATGGCGCTCTGGGTATCTGCAGAGCGGGTTATTCTCATTCTTAGCCTGCAGCGCCACCAAGCGTCCTTACTTCCTATTGCATACAACTTTTGCCATTTCAATCCCAAACTGGACTCTTACAAGAATATTCAAGTCACAGGCCTCCCCTGTACTGTATCTCTTCCTGTCATTTATTGTATGTTCTAATGATACATGTTATGAAATAATTTTCAGAAGATGGAATACTTTTGGAGCAAAAAGTGTACATTTCATATCTGCTAGATTTATTTCTTTTTAAACATTCATCCAGAAGCGAAAGACCAAAATGTTGTATAAAACTCAGTGGGTTTACACCCAATTAATACTCTGGTTTAAGAATAATCTGCATGAAAAGTAGAACTTACCAAAACCACAGGAGTCCTTTTCTATTATCCTCTGGTTACAACTCTCACTGTTAAATATTCACGCTACCCTGAGCCCATTTACCAAAGATTATTTTTTATTTTTGGAACTGTTATGCAAATGTTAGTTTGTGAGTATCAGTCTCTCATGTTTTTTCTCTGACTGAAGATATTGCTAATAGAACTCATCTATGGTATGTTGTAATTTGTTTTATTCTCATTATTCTATGAATGTATTGTAATTCCTTTACAATCTTCTCTCACTGATGAACACCGAGTTTTTCCAATGTTTACCTTTACTGAAAAGTACTGCCCTGTCCTGTTTTTCTCATGCCATTTACTGATGACTTTGTAAATATAATCAGGGGAGTTAAACAGTTGTGCATCCTTGTATATGTTTGTATTTTACTTTAGCAAATCTTTTGAAATTCTTTTCATGAGTAAATATGAGTTCCAGTTGCTCTATATCCTTGTCAACAGTTGATGTTGTCTTTTTGTTTGAACATTCTAGTGAATATTACCATATTGAAGTTTTGATTTGAATATCCCTAGTGACTAATGAAAATTTTGCATTTTCATGTTGTTCAATCCCAAACAAGGCCATTTGTATAAATTCTTCAGAAATATTTATTCAAGTTTTTTGTATTTTGTGTTTGAGATTGTCTGTTTGCCTATCGTACTATGGAAGTAGTCTTGCATTTTGAATATAGGACTCTGTCCAAATATGTGCATTACAAATACTTCTCACTTGATTTGTTGTATTTCAACACTATTTTTTTTTTGGGTCCGGTCGTGGGGCCTGAACTGGGGGCCTGGGCACTGTCCCTCAGCTCTTCAGCTCAAGGCTAGCGCACTACCACTTGAGCTACAGCGCCACTTCCAGCTTTTTTCTTTTTGCTTATGTGGTGCTGAGGAATCGAACCCAGGGCTCGAGCATGCAAGGCAAGCGCTCTACCACTGAGCCACCTTCCCAGCCCATTAACACTAATTTTTTTAACTTTGATTTTTCAGTATTTGTAATTTCAAATGATCGTTTTTCTTGTTAACTTTAAGCCTTTGCAGCAGGCACTGGTGGCTCATGCCTGTAATCCTAGCTACTCAGGGGGCTGAAATCTGAGGATTGTGGCTTGAAGCCAGTCCAGGCAGGAAACTCCATGAGACTCATCTCCAAAATCTTCTCAGAAAAAGCTGGAAGTGGCACCGTGGCTCAAGTGGTGGATTGTAAGCCTTGAGCCAAAAGGCTCAGGAACAGTGCCCAGGCCCTGAGTTCAAGCAGCAAAACAAAAGAAACTACAATCAACTTAAAAGGTTTGAAAAAGATTGGATTCATTTCCTCTCCCCTCACTTCAGATACTTTAATACCATCTATTAGAAAGCTGACTCAATTCCCTTTATTTCTGAAGCTTCATTGTTGTCATAACTCTGATAGTCATGTGTTTGCTCAAGTATTCCATTTTTATTTCCTTGTCTATCATACAATATTATGTTATTAGTATAGCTTAATCTGAGAGGTAAGTTTTCCCTTATAATACTATTTTCAGCCAGGTGCCTGTGGCCTATGCCTGTAAACCTAGTTACTCAGGAGGCAGAGATCTGAGGATTGAAGCCAGCCCAGGCAGACATATCCAAGAGATTTTGTCTCTAATTCACCAGAAAAGGCCACAAGTGGAGGTGTAGTCCTAGGGGTAGAGCACCAGCCTAGATGCAAAACCAATTGAGAGTATAAGTCCCTGAGTTCAATCCCCACTACTAGTGTGACTTGATGTGACTTTGATTAATTCAGTTTTATTAATCTGAAACCACATTTTTTTATTTTTGGGGGGGTCCAGTCGTGGGGCCTGAACTCTGGACCTGGGTGCTGTCCCTCAGCTCTTTAGCTCAAGGCTAACACTCTACCACTTGAGCCATAGCACCACTTCTGGCTTTTTTATTTTCTGCTTATGTGCTACTGAGGAATCGAACCCAGGGCCTCATGCATGCAAGGCAAGTGCTCTACCACTGAGCCATCTTCCCAGCCCCTGAAACCACATTCTTAATGATATGTTTACTGGTAAAAGAATTTTAGCCTAGCAATAATCTTAATTCAGGACTTTAAATACAGCATTCCTTTGTCTTTTGATTTCATAGTTTATGTGAAAAAATCAGCTCTCTGTTTAATACATGCTATTTTAGAAATAATGTCGTATTTGTTTGTTTGGTCCTTTTTCTTTGGAATAATGCAGTAACACCACTTGAGCCACTCCTCTAGCCCCTGATTTTGGTCTTGAGCAACTTTGGTATGATATACCTAAGATATTGATTGCTTGGGTTTTACTGAGAATCTTGAAGTGTTAAACTTTCACCTATTTTGGTGACTACCACTTGTTACCCTCTCTTATTCCTCTAGTACTATATTTATATATGTGTTAGAGAGTTTCATATATCCTATAAGAAAGTAATGTTATTTTCCATAATTTTGGTTACTTTTTCTTAGCATTTCTAGCCACATAATTTCTATTGCCCTGCCTTAAACCCACCAATCTGTATTATTTTATGTCTACAACATTGCATGATTTAAATAATTGTATATGCCCTGCATTGTGTTTTTCAGTTATAGGATTTCCATCATATATTTCAATTCTCTGGTTAAATTTTTTGTTCCTTTTTCCATTATTCCTTATTTTACTATTTTAGTCATACTTGTTTTAACACCATGTTTAATTCCTTTCATTTTAACCTATGGATTTTCTAAAGTCATTGATTTTATTCTGCTCTTCCTGTTTTATTGGTACAAACTTGAATTTTTGCTTTTTGCTGAATACTATTTACATGAAAAGCCATGCACAATGAAGATGACAGTACTTCCTTCAGGAGGAATACATGTTTTCCTCTGTTAGCGCCATAAAACCTCATCTCATCATATAACCTTTTGTCATATAAAGAGGCTCAAATGTATTTGCAACTCTAATTTTCAGCTAGAACTTGATCTATTCTCCATAGTCTTTTTTCCTGTGATAGGTTCCAGAATCTGATTTTTGTATTTCAAGAAAAACCTTACCCTAGTTTTTAGAGAATTAACAATCAGGATGGGCCCAGGTGGCTTAAACCTGTAATCCTAGCTACTTAGGAGGCTGAGATCTGTGGACTGCAGTTCCAAGTCAGCCCTGGCAGCAAAAATTCATGATACTCTTATCTCCAGTCAACCACCAAAAATCCAGAAGAGAATCTGGGGCTCAAGTGATAGAGTACTTATCTTAACCATAAATGCTGAGGAACAGGGTGCAAGGTTCAGTCTTCAGTGACAGTCACACACACACACACACACACATACACAGAGTATTTCACTTAGGTTTTTAATCTTTTGTTGTGGTCCAGAGAGAGATATTCGTTCAAAAACTATATTTCTCCAAAGGTCACTACCTTCCTCTGCTTCTGTCAAGAACTTGCTGTTGTTTCAGACTTAGAAAAATTCTACAGAATAAAACTGACTGTAGCTCTCAGTTCTCATCCTCACAGTTTTGCCAGCTAAGAAGTTGGGTTTTTCTCTCAGTTGTGGGGCCTGAACTCTGAGCCTGTCACTGTCCCTCAGCTCTTCAGCTCAAGATGAGTAGTCTTCCACCTGAGTCACAGTGCCACTTGTGGGTTTTTCTGCTTAGGTGGTGCTGAGGAATCAAACCCAGGGCCTCCTGCATGCAAGGCAAGCACTCTACCACTGAGCCACCTTCCCAGCCCTAGCTAAGAAATTTTAGTTACCATATTTTTGTTTTGGTAATGGTAGTACTGAGAGATGAACTCAGGGCCACAACCACTTGAGTCATGAATCCCTCCCCTCAGTCTTTTTTGCCTTTTTTGTGCCAGTCCTGGAGCTTAAACTCAGGTACTCGGCTCTCTGTGCTTAAGGCTAGCCCTCCACCACTTGAGTCACAGCACCAATTCTAGCTTTTTTTGTTTATGTGTTACTGAGGAATCAAGACAGGGCTTCAAGCATGCTAGGCAAGCATTCTACTGCTAAACCACACTCCCAGCCCTCATTTGATTTTTAGGTAAGTTCTCACACTACTTTCTCAGGCTGGCCTCACACAGTAATCGCTCTACCTCTGCCTCCCATGTAGCTGGGATAACAGATGTATACCACCACATCTTGACTGTCTCAATAACTTTTAGCCTGACCTAGGGTCAACCTATGATCTTCTTGCTCTCTGCTTCCCATGTAATTGGGATTACAGGCATGTGCCACCATTCCTGACTTGTCATATGAGCCTCTTCCTATTGGTATAAATATATATATGTATAAATATATATATATATATATATATTTCTGACTTTTAACCAGTTTGTGTGTGTGTGTGTGTGAGTGTGTGTGTGTGTGATTCAGGATAAATGTCTGCCTAATTCCACCAAATATGTAAATGAGTTTTAATTGTAACAGTAGTGTGGAACTTAAGGTCATAATGGCTACACTACTTTCAGTAGAATTTCTTTCCTTAGAACGGTACTTATTAAATTCACTATGTCCAACACCTAAAAATGACAGCAAATGAGTTATAAAAGATGTATGTATGTATGTATGTATATATCTACAAGCACTTGAAAGTGCATAATAAAATAAGCGTTATTGCTTGTCCTTCAATCTATTTTTGTTCTGTCACCACAGAACTGGCCTATTTTAGAAGGTGTGAATGTTATGGATATTTAAATTATAACAACTAGATGTCAGAAATGGAGCTGTGACTTAAGTGGTAGAGTGCAAGTCTTAAATGGAAAGGCTTAGGGAGACCATGAGGTCCCAAGTTTAAGCCTCAGGCTGGGAAGGTGGCTCAGTGGTAGAGCACTTGCCTTGCATGCTCAAGGCTCTGGGTTCGATTCCTCAGCACCACAAAAGAAAAAGCTGGAAGTGGCGCTGTGGCTCAAGTGGTAGAGCACTAGCCTTGAGCTGAAGAGCTGAGGGACAGCACCCAGTCCCAGAGTTCAGGCCCCACGACTGGACCCCCCCCAAAAAAGAAAGTAATACCAAGTTTAAGCCTCAGTACATATGCTCATGTGCATGTATGTATGCACACATGCACACATGCCCACACACAGACACAAATCCAAACTCATATACGAATTTCAGAAATTTACCTACTCTGCAGTCTGGTCTGGCCCTAGCAGTCAAGGAAGAATCCCTTATTTATGAGTGCAGGATTGGGTGGATTCTAGATACTTATTTGATTAGTCTCCTATGGGTAATTATACAAACTGAACTTACCTCATAAAACAAATAAGTGAACTTGGGACAAGAGGAGCAGTACTTATTTGTAACTCCAGTATTAGGGAACATGAGTTTGAGAACAGCCTTGGATGGACTACAGAGTGAGATCCTGTCTCAAAACTAAAACAATTACAGAAAATGTAAATGTGAACTGTTATGACATTGAAATATGCTGGTAAAAACTTCAACCAGTTGTATTAGTTGTCATATAGAAAAGATATTTCATGGTCTAAGGGTGTAGTGTAATTGTCTATAATGCTGAAGAGTCTAGGTTCAACCCTCTATACTGCAAAAAAAATATTAAGAAATGGAGAAGTCATTACAATTGATTACTCTATGTCTTGCATATTTGTGCTCAATTCTGTTGTCATTTTTATCTTTTTTGCATTCCAATTTTGAAGACTGGATTTGAGCTCAGAACTTCATATATGTTAGGCAGGTATTCTATCACTTAAGCTAAGCCTAGACCCTTTTCTTTTAGTTGTTTTTAAGATGAAGTTTCAACTTTTCCTCAGGACAAACTCATCTGTGATCCTCCTATTTATACTTCATGCTATTGCTGAGACAAAAGGCATGTAACATTGTGCTCTGCTTTTTATTGCTTGAAATGGGTGGTCTTATGAACTTCTTGCTTGGTCTAGCTTCAAATCTTGAACCTCTCAATTTGACTACTTGGGATTATAGGACAGAGCCACTTGAAGCCAGCTTATTTTAATTCCTTAAATAGAATGAAGGCTGAAAATGGTTTCAAGAATAATTTAAGTGGGCAGATTTTTTATTGTATCACATCTTAGGGTAAAGAGTAATTCACAGAAAAGTACAATACTTAAATCCAGCAGAATATGTGAGATTTTAAAGCAAATACAAGACTGTAAAGAAAACTTCTAAATTGCTCATAATTCTGACAAAAATTCAATGAAGTTGACTTACAGTCATATCCATATATTTTAGTAGTTAAAAATTACACACTACTCCATTAGGCTCATTGAACAAAATATTCAAAAGTATAATTCAGATAATTCACATCTCTTCAGGAACAAAATAACACTTATTTCATACAAATATAACTTAAACCCTGTTGAAATTTTACATTATTTTAGAATAATTATTACA